GAATGTGTTTTAACTAAAATAGTAAAATATTTTTTATTATATAGTTAATTGGAAAGTTATAGAGATCAATGCACCATAATTATTGTTATGTATATATATATTTGTTATATTTAGTAATTTTCAATGATTTTATTTAAATTATTAAATTAAATGTAATCGGCACACTCTAATTATTTTTAGAACAAAATACAGTAATCATAATGTATTCGAGTTAAACAAATTTCGTTATTAAACCTAGTTTGATTCTATTGGATTGAAAATAAGGAATAATTTCACTTATACAATTTAAATTTACAAAATTTAGTAAACAATTTATTATTTATTTATCTACTCAACAACTATTAAGACGTGTGTGTATGTTTATATGTATAAATTTAAAATGTAAGTTAAAATATTTTGTAAGTATGAATCGTATAACTAAGTCCAATCTTCTATTTGATTAAGCAAATATATCTACAACTAACGTCATTTATAATGACATCTCACTAAAGATGTAATAATGTCTGTCCATTTAATTGTTTTTATGGTATTCTCTACCTTAGCGGTTTCCAACCCATGGGCCGCAAGCAGGGTGCTACTGGGCCGTGAACCATATAATATTAACGTTACTAACGATTATGAGTTTTTTAAGATGATACATTAAAAAATCTCTGATTCATTAAAATCCTTTCCTCCCTCCACTGTCAACAACTTTTTTCTCGATTACATTAATGATAATTTTCCTCTTTTCACTTTAGTTTACACTGATGGTTCAGTCTCTCCTATTTCTGCAGGTTATTCTTTTTATATACATATATCTATTTCCTTTTCTAACAATCTTCTCCCCACTTCTTCATCATTTTCTGCCGAATGTTTCGCTATCATTGAAGCCCTCACACTCATATCTTCCCTTCCCCCCAACAGATTTTTAATTATATCTGACTCAATGTCAAGTATTCAATCGTTAGTTATCCTTTCAATCCCTGCTTTTCTCCTCTTATTCTCCGCATAAAAAATATTATTTTTTCTCTCAATCAAGCTAACTTAACTATTAAATTTCTCAGGGCTCCCAAGGTCCATTTCCATCTCTCTGCCCTCTTGTAAAATCCCTTCTTTTGACTTCATCCCAATTCTGCGATAACATATCAATCGTCTTTGGTCATCCTATTGGAATACTCTTCCGGCTAATTTCGCCTCAAAATATAAAATTGTTGTTCCCGTCATCTTAAAAAAAAACTTGGTTCTCTAATCTAAAATTATCCAGAAACTCGATTACACAATTTGACCGTTTACGGGTCGGTCATTATCTACTTCCTTCCCATTCCTACAAACTTTCTCTAAACGATTCCCCTTTTCTGTTCTAAACACTCTGAAGAGATTACTTGCGACCTCTCCCATATTATCTTGAACTGCCTTTCTTTATTCTCTAATTGTTTAACTCTTTTTAATTTTTTAAAATCTCAAAATATCCAACTTTATCTTCTATTCTTAATTCCAATTCTGAATTTGTTATAATCCGATTATTATCATTTATCCGTGATACTGATCTATCCGTTTAATTATAACTAAATTATTTTAAATGAAATGTATGTCTTAATGTTCAAGCTTACACAAACTTTATTCTGTAAATGTTGAAATAAATTGTAAACCTACAAAGTTTCAATAAAAATAAAAATAAAAAACATTACTAACGTATATTTTTAAAATATTAAATATCAGCAAGTGAAGAAGATTTGTTGATTGAACTTTCATGTGATCATACTGTTAAATCTTTTTTTTTAAACCATTTATGCCATCCTGGTTAAGTATTCAGCAAGACTATCCAGCAATCTCTAAAATTGCACTAAGAAATTTGATGGATTATATTTCGACAATCTATACTTGTATGGACGAGCTTTTACTACTTTGATATTTTTTTTAAATAAATATAGGAATACATTTAATATTAAAATTGATTTAAGATTAAAACTATTCAGTTTTAATTCAAACACTGATTTTCTCGTAGAGGACAAGTAATATCAAAAGTCACAACAAATGATTTAGCTCTTGAATAATCTGATTCTATAAAGTTTTTTTTTTAATAAACAATTATTTTTTAATTATTTTTGTAGTAACTGATATATATATAACTATTGGTGGGCCTCAAAGATTTTTTACAAAATTGGTGGTCCGCACTACTAAGAAGGTTAAAAATCGCTTCTTTACCTCATCGATGTTTTGATTGCCGTAGTGATGAAAAATTTCGTTTAGCTGTTACATCTGTAGTAACCTGGTAATATGATAAGTATTTTTAACAATAAATAAATTCTAGAAAAATACAGCTCTGGTCACATCGTTTGAGATTTTCTAAAGGCGATGAAGTTAATTGTTTATCTTGCAACTAATAATTATAACAAATTTCAAATTAATATCGATTAATTTAGATTCAAAGATATCTCTAGGTTTGTTTATTTTACTAGCTACTGATTTATTAATCAGTTTTATATTTTATTTTCATATTAGTATTTTTCATCAAAAATAGATTGCCACCCAACCAGATCATAAACTGGCATCCAATCTTAATCGAGAAAGGGAATAAAGAGCGTTATTCTAAAATATTTTTCAGAAGATTTAGCATGAGAATATTTTTTGTTTTTCATTACGTTAAACAATCTTGTTAATTCCGCCAGAAATTCCCAAGTCAGCTGCTTGGCTTTCAATGGTTTTAAGTATTTTATTGAAAAAGTTTATTTTTTTTATTTTTTATTTTTTTAATATAAGTTCCAGTAACATAAAATATTACACTTTATCATACAACAAATCAAGTAATACATTTTAATATGGCCAAAAGGGGGGGGGCTCTTACTGCCCCCTCCAAATTCGTGCCTGATAGTTGTCTAGTTGTTTAGATTGACTTTCGAATTTTATTGGATTCTATGAAATACATTGCATATGTGTACATTTAAATGTAGTATAAATATTGAAAATAATTTTATCTTATTTTCTATATTGTGATATGAGTATTTTTATCATAATATATTTCTAATGAAATGTACTCGTTAAAACGTTTAGTAGTTTATCAGTGTTCGGGTTTGTCGCATAAAGCAATAGTGCACCAAATAAGTTGTACAGATTTGATAACAATATCAGTAACGTCAGACGTTGTACATATAAATTATCAATTTCATTAGTACATTGAAAATATATATGTAATCATTAATGTTGTGATTGTATATTTGTGATATTTGTGATTGTATGTTTGAAGATTACAATTCTTCGTATGTTTTGTATAATCATTTATCTGTTGATTCAGGTCACATATTATGGTAATCACTGTGGACATGTTATATTTTATAATTTTTATTGTCTTTTAATGTTTACAAGGAAACAAAAAAAAAAGTATTGACATCGTCACATAGAATAAAGAAATTGCATTTATAAATATTTAATTTGTCATTTAGTCAATAAACGTAATATTTTTTTAATAATGAGACTGCAAATAATTTTCAAATAAATGGCCTATGAGTATGTGTATTTTAATTATATCTCATTTTGGGTCATTTATAGTAGGCTTTACTTATTTATAACGCTGACCATTTCAAAGATATTAAATCCTAATTAATTTTTAGTCAGATGTTAACATCAATCCATTTTTCACCACTTATATTTTGTTTATTTCAATTGTATTATATTGTTTTACAAACAGTTATTTTGTATGGATTAGATTTTAAAATTTCCTTGAAAAACGAAAAAAAGCAACAAAATATGGCATTGGTTCTTACCGGTTTTTTATTCTGTAACTTGTTGCTTCTTTGTACGTGTTATTCCGTTACCGGTAGCAAACAGTTTTTTTAGGTGTAAAGTTAGGGAAAGGATTCGTTTGCAGTTATGAAGGAGCCGAATTTCTCCCTGGAAAATCGTTATCACACATTGTTGTTAAGTCAAAAAAGTAATTTGTTAATTCGGTTTACTTTTTGAAAAATCGATGTTTTCGCGTACCCTCGCATCTCTGACAATACATTTACGTATGTCCGCAATTCCGTATACACCCCAAAAGCCGGTGGTGCTTTTTATTATTCGATCGTCGAGCTTTTCTGCTCGCGTGAACACCGCCGCCGAACGGTGCGTTGCAGCGTACCACTACCGCACCCGTTCGGAGGAGAAGGGACGTTATTCATCGTTGTGCGTCTGTATACGTACGGGAGTTCATCCGAAATTCGGCCGGTAGCGTGATAAATACCCGGTAAATACCATTAGCGCTGTTATGATTATTAATTGTACGTGCACGCGGAGTTCGATTGACAATCTCATTTTCGTACGTGGCCCGAGGCGGTTGCTGTCCATTTCAAGGTCTGCATACGCACACATATACACACACGCACAAACGCGCGCCACTCGCACACGCGCGTACACACACACACACACGCGCGCGCGCGCGCGCGCACACAAATGAACTATCCACTCTCCGAGTTGAAAATAAAAAAAAAAAACAACAAATCTCGTTCCGCAGCAGCTCTTCGCCACAGCCTTTCATTCCACATTCTAATGAACCCGGCCGACGGACGCGTGTCGTTCAGATATACTCTCGCCACTCGTACGCAACGTGTTGTGCCGTACGACAGCGAAACGTACGTACGTGCACTCCAGAAGTACGCGCGCACGCACGGTGCAACTAAATAGTTCTGTGCTTTAAAAACGCATCGCGACCCGGTCCTCTCACGAGGCGGTCACGTTCGGGAGTATCGTTTTTTATCTTTTATTCTTCCGTTACGCTTCGACCGTCCGAAAACCGTGTACAAATCTTGTGTCGTCTGCTCTGCGCCGCGTTTTTTTTTTGTTTTTCGTGCTCGTCCTGAAGATCGCGAACGCACGCCACACACGCGCCTGTTCGCCGGACAACCCTTTCGCGTCGACGCGACTTTGGGCGCGCGCGTAACTGCGGAACAAAACACGTTTTCGCAGCAGGACCAGCCCAGCGGTGCGCGCGCGCGCGTGTGTGTCCGCCGATGTAATCCAATGTTGTCGTTGTGATCGTTTTGCAGATGAAATCGAAGTCGTCGCATCCCGAATACCTCTCATCTACACGACCGGTTAGAGATAAGTTATGATACCAGTTTTATGATATCCGACGGATACTACCAACCACCACGTCCTGAGTCTCGGCCCGGTTTGCGCTGACCAATAACACTACAATGGTGGTAGATCATAGTGGACCTAACAACAGTCCAGGTAATAACCATTATTTCATTTTATACCTACGATTATATATAGCATTAAGCAACTTTTTCTTCCGTGTATTGGATTCTCCGAGGCTCGTTCCGTGTACTAGGCACGCGGTTAGAATCCCGATGTCATTGCTAACGATTGTTCTTATACACTTTTTTTTTTCATTCGTTATTATTTGATGTGCCATGTTTTTCAACGTTACATTTCATACATTTAACACGAGACGCAGTAATTGTATTGTTAAAAAATAATAGGTACGGGTTTGTGTTTATTGGTGATTATGATACTTTCGTACACAAATGAGTCGATTCGAAACATAAATAAAATTCAAATATGTATACGTTTTTAATCGATGAAGACTATCATGTTTCGAGTTTAAAACCTGATTTGTAATCCCGGTTATAACGTACGTTGTCTATTTTTCTATTGCTCAGTTTTATTTTATAGTTACATCGAAAATTTGATCAATTACATACCCATTTAATTACGGTGTAGTAAAATGAAATAATATTCTACTTTACCGTTTTTACCTAATACATTTCAATTACACACAGGTACGCCAATTTTCGTTGTACAATGTTTGACGTTCGGCCAACGAGATTATTTTTTTTTTTAATAAATTTAATTCATATACCTTAAAATAAATTTAATCACGATTACCATTTTATGTGTGCGTATTATAATCGATACTGTGTAGGTACACAAACGCGTCGTGATAACCTCGCGAATATCAAAATAGCGTTTTCCATCCTTCGCAAATGTCTTTCGGATTACAATTGTTATGTTTGTTGTTGAAACGATTCTCCAGAAGACCATCGACGAAACAACAATAATATTACGATAATAATACGAACGGCGGCGGTTCAGGAATTTCTGCCGCGATCCGCGCGCCTGTTGTTCCATCCGCATGTGCGCAGCGCATTTCTCGAGGAGTTTTTTTTTTCCCCCCGAAATCCATTGTGGCAGGTAGGTGGTAACTTGTTATTCCGAAATGCGCAGTAGTAGTCGTAGTATTATTTAGTAGTAGTAGTCGGTAGTTACCATATAGGTAGTGTTGGTAGTGGTGTGTTCTCCATTCATGATTGTGTATTGTAATAAAGTCTCTCTTCAGGACCACTATCGCAGTCACCACGTGAACCGTGAGCACACGTTTGTATACATACGTTCGATTATAATCGAGAGAAAAAAAACAAAATGTGTGTGTGTGTGTGTGTGTGAGTATGTGTGTACACATAACATGTAGTGAGGAAAACAATGCTATTGTATGGGTTCTTCTCTACCACTCTGCTCTTTCTATGGTATGTATTTGCTCTCCGTCCGCCGTCACCCCAGACATTATATTATGTATTATTATATCGTATTTGTAGTTAGTGTACCATGTCAGAGTCAAAACGCTTTTTTTTTCTCCGTCGATCACACAATATCCATATCTGTACGATATTTGTCTGCTTGCGTTCATTACTTTCTTATCAATACGTTATAAGTATGATCGCGTAACTAAAAGTCACAGCGAGGGTGTCATAGTATTTTTGATAAGAGGAGGAGGACAACCAGAATAAACTGAACTTAAAATTACACGAATTTTTTGTGTATAATTTTTGTTTGTACAATTTCCTTTTTCTTTTACATAAACATTTCTAGAGAAATCCAGAATTTATTTATTAATAAATTATACAATTTTATTATATTTATTAATTTTAAATTATGCACTCTGTATCTGAATTTTCTATTTTAAAATGTTTCAGTGAAAGCAATGATTTGCAAATAGATATAGGTAGTTATGGAGCTCGAACGAAAAATCCACTTGGTGATGGAGTAGTGCGGGTAGATTGAACTATTTTATATTTCTTGTAATCGTGTTTTTTTTTCTTGCTCTGAAACAAGCGCAAACGATAGTTATGAAAGAGACCTTTTCCACCCCTCTCATATTATTACGAGTGTGTTGGTACTTTGCGCATGTTTCAGTGTTTGTCCGTGGCCGGATATCGGAAACAACGGGGTAGAGAACAATATGTATTCGATGTTTGACGACTTAACGTGGCGGCGGCCATCTTAAATGTGACAAACTTCTAGACTCGTTCCCCGCTTCGACAGATTTCCTCTGCCATGAGCCGCGAACGTAAGGATGAGTTTCGACCGATTTCCAAGCATATAAATATCTGTCGTGCCGGGAATATTGAACTGCTGCGACCGCGGACTTCAGCTCCAGCGAGCTTGTCGGCTGCGACGGCGGTGGTCACACTCTATATAAATAGTTACACCCCCCGCGTACCGTACAAGTACGTCTATCGTGTCCATGTAGGCAGTGCTCGACTTGGCAAAATTTAAGATGGGGGACTCTGTTTACTTTAAAAAAAATAGCGTTCCAAAAATTTGTTAAGCGTTATAATTATAACGTAATATAGTAGGGAGGAGACGCTAAAATTTCTGAAAATTAGTTGGGGTACTCCGTCCCCCCTCAAATCAAGCATTGCGTGTCGGGGCACGTATGCGCGCTGGGTTAGAACGCGTCGTTGGGTCGTGTCGCCGCACCCTCGCGACCGTGCGCCGTTGATGAATTCGGCCTTTGACGTGCAACACAAAACGATCGCGGGAGGTGAAAAAAAGAAACAAAAATTATACGGAAAATATGACTTGATAAAATATATTTTATACGTTGTGTGTGCATATCGTGCATCATTGTCTTCCGACGAAATCCCGGGATCTTTAATCGTTTTGTCTTTCCGTTAAAAAATGTCTCGTCAAAAAGCAGTGTTACAGAGATCGAAATTCGTTGACATCGTTTATATTGTGGTTAAACCATTATTTTTTGTTTTATGGTTTTTTTATTTACGGCTCCGTTTAAGTATAAACCCTAGTGCTTATACCATGCGTTATTTTTTCGTCGATTTCCTCACGTCTATTTTCACGTCTCCACAGATATGTATTTGAAATTGAAATTATTAGTAGATTTATCCATGTTCATATCGTAAAACATTTACCAAAAGAACGACCAAACGCCTTCCATTATTGGTGAATACACCTGAACCATGTTGCTATAGTTGGTAAATTATGAATTTTAAAAACTCAGTTATCAAATTATTTTTTAACCCCCATTATTTCTCTTACATCTCTCATTAATTCGATGGATTATTAATTGACTTATTTAGAAATAATTATGTCGGTCAACCATGATGATTTTTGATAAGAATAATGTTTAAAATTTATTTATGATTTATGCAATAGCATATAAAAATTAACCCTTTTTTCATATTTATATGACAATATTAGTTATAATTTATGGTTTCAGTTTGGGAAAACTTGTAACTATTGGCTTTCGAAATCGAGTTATACAGAGAGTATCTCTCAATTATTTAAAAATTATTTAAAATAACCTTATCAACGTGTAATAACGTAAAAAATACCAAAAGAGCTATGGATAATAATAAAAAAATATAAATTAATGGTTAGTTCCGTATTATTTAGAAAAATATTTTTAGCCTATACATAAAAAAAAGTCAACATCTGAACCCCAATTAGTAATTATTATGCTTTATTTTAAATTTAAATTTTTAAATCCTCCTTTGGTTAGGATCTTGTCCAAACTTATTTGAAAATAAATCTCTATTACATATAAATTCATAAATATTAACACCGTTAAGTGAAAAGTTTAAATGAGATTAAATTGTGTTTTTATTTTAATATATTTTAGTTTAAAAAAAAAAAATCCGTTTCATAACCTACTTATTTTCATATTAAAACCAGTTTAACTAGTGTTTTTTAATTTGATTATATTTATGTTGTTTTGTTATTTGTTTTGACGACAATCAAAGTTAACTACATTTTAGAGGAAATTGTTTTTTATTTATTTATTAAGTAAAGTTTTAAAATTAAAATTTGGATATTTATTTATGTACTTTACTGGATTATTCTTGTAAGAAATAAATAACTGTGAAATTTTCTTTTTTTTTTTTCTATTTCTGAAATACGACTTGAAAAATTATACATTCCTTTCGTTGTTTACTGAGAAAATTATTCAATTATAACAGATAAAGAAGGCCAATAAAAATCGATACGTTATACTTTTGTACATCCAAGAACCAAACATACTCTAAATAAAATACATCTGAATTAACTGATGTTATTCCCGACGTGATAACATTAGAATGTCTTCGGTCGTCGGTCGTCATCAAATTGTCAGAATATTATTATTTATTAAGTCTGAGTAGTAACTTCGCGATGTTACATGATTGACATGGTTGGAATAAGTTTTCATACTTTCGTACGAACTGAGAAATTAATAGTTTTAGTCGCGTAACAAACGAAGCACAAATGTATTTCAAAAAATAAAATTAAGCATATTTCATCGGTCTTAAGATATAAATGTTTAAATGTTTGTGTAGTATTTTTTTAGATTCTGAATGAAGGAAATATATGTTTTTTTTATTATTATTATTTTGGCATTAAAGGATTATATGTATTTATAAATATACCGTTATATTTTTGACATTTTTATATTATTGCTGGTATACTAGCAAAACATTAAGTACCTGGATATTTTCAAAATTATTTTCGTAGCGAAGAAATGTATCATATGGTTAAGAGTAATTTAAGGGATGTTCAAATCTCATGTCGTTTATATAAGTACGACCTTAGATAGTATAAATTCCATATTCGCAATTTATTCGTATTCGAAATATTTAATTATTTTTCGAATTGATATCTTATTAAACGTATAATGATTACGTGTTCATATGTTTATAAATGTATAAACTAAGGAAAATATAATCAGTTTTATTTTTAACATTTTTTCGACTCGGACTTATACATAATTTATATATGGTTCTCTATTTAAATTCCTATTAATAAATATTATGTCATTTTTTTGGTATTTGTCGTCTTCCTAAAAAGTACCTCGTTTTCTATATATATATATATATATATATATATATATATATATATATATATATATATATATTTAAATCCATGCTGATAGGAAGTACTAGCAAAATCGAGCATGGCTGTTTTCGACCAAAACAAACATTTATATAATAAATGGTTTGCATTTTTTTTTTCGAAAAATCGGAATTTAATTAATTTAAAAATGTTAAGACTTCGCTCGTTACGCCTACCGGCTCCACTCACGAACTCGAGTGCCACTGCGTGTCACTTTTTGGGGGGATGGGTTTTCGCCCCAAGGGGAATTATAGTCAAAGTCTAACCTAGTTTTTATACAAACTTTGATACTATTGCAAATGGGATTATGATCTATATGTGAACCTAAAAGATCGCTACTCGAGTAAAACTCTGAATCGTCATTAATATATTATTATAGTTTCTATCATAATCAAACATTGTATATCATTTTTTTATTATTTTAAATTTATTATATAAATTTTTGTTTTGGTCGAAAAGGAAAAAAGGATACGGTCTTGGTCGAAAACGGACTCTCCCTAAAAATCGGGTGTGCAGAGCGTGCATTGCACGCGAGCCTAGTATTACCATATTATAGGGCCTCAAAATTTTGATTTGCACATGGTGCAAATCAATCTCGATTTCAGTTACGGCACTGTGTACTGTATTGGCAAATGTAAAATATTTTGACATTTTTAATGAACTTGCATTTTATTTGTTTTTAGATTTGAAGTTTAACAATGGCAGGGTGAAAAATCAAGAAAATATCGATCTCAATATTAAAAGTAAGTTTGAATTTGTCGATTTTGGTATTAGTTATTAATTGTTAAGTTTTATCTATCAATACTTCTATAATTTTTGTTTAATTTAAATTTCAGGCGGGTCGTTAGATAATTATGAAAAGAAACTTGATGCCATCGAAAATGGTTCTTTCCCCCCTTCTAAGGAGGTGGCAGATTTTGAACAAGCTATTGAACTCACGGGTAATTATTAACAAAATTGTTGAGTTTCAATGTTCCGTCGTCACACAACCATTTGTTTAATAATTACTATAGTTTATTTTTTTTTTCATTAGGGTATGGAAAATTCCATTATTTACTGTTGGTTGTGTGCGGTTTCGTCAGCACCAGTGAGGAAATGGATGTTATATGTATGTCCTTCATATTACCCTCAGCCCAATGTGATCTTAAGCTAAATACGTCATCCAAAGGATGGTTAAACTCAATAATATTCATTGGTAAATATAAAAAATTACACAAATCGACTACTTACTTATTGATCTTATATGTTTCACAGGCATGATGGCCGGTGCATACATTTGGGGTTCTCTGGCTGATGCATTGGGTCGCCGTAAAGTATTAATTGTTATCAGTTTTATGAATGCACTGTGTATTGTGGCGTCTACATTTGCTCAGTCTTATGGTGTATTCATGTTCTTTAGATTTTTAAATGGAGCAGCGTAAGTAGAAAGGAATTAAAACTTTTATAAAACTGTACAACTGTTATAATACATTACGTAAAATATATTATAGATTGGGTGGTAGCGGTCCAGTTATATGGTCATATTTTGCTGAATTCCAGCCCAAAAACAAACGTGGTTCAATGCTGAGTTCAATGGCAGCGTTTTGGACTCTTGGAAATTTATTTGTTGCTAGTAAGTAAAATACGATAATCATAATAACTACATATTTTACTACATTGTGTTTTTATAGCTCTAGCATGGATTATCATACCTCTAGACATTGGCTATAGGTCTTCTTGGTTTTTATATAATTCTTGGAGAATATTTTTGGCCATTTGTTCTATTCCTAGTGTACTTGTTGCTGTGTTCCTGTTTTTTTTACCAGAAAGTCCTAAATTTCTATTGACTCGTAATGATCACAAAAAAGCATTGGAAGTATTCAAACAAATTTATGCTACTAATACAGGGAATGATCCTGAAATGTATCCAGTAAGTTATTTTTGTTATACTCTGAACTCCAGAGTCTAGTTAATAATATATCTTTATAAATATGGGTATGTATTATTTTAAAATTGTAGGTTAAGACATTGGTAACCAAATCAAATGCTGTTGAACATGATAGTTCGAAAAAAAAATCTTTTAAAAGTATGGCTACAGATGTGGGTCAAAATACAAAGATGATATTTATGCCTCCAATTTTAAAATATACATGGATATCTATAGTAATCAATCTCAGTTTCCATATTGGGTATGTATGTTTGTTTATGATAATAAATGCTTATTATATTTAATGGTATTTTTTTTTTCCAGTTATTATGGTCTCATGATGTGGTTCCCAGAGCTGTTCAATAGGTTTGATGAATTTGCACGAGCTCATAACGGAAGTGAACAAGCACTAGTGTGTGAAGTATGTACATAGTATCGATAGATAATCTATTGGTTAATTAATAATTGTTTGTTTTTAAATTTTAATTGAATAGGTGACTGAATTTGTTGTCAAAACTGGATCACATTCACATGTGGATTTATGTTCTGACAAAATTGAGAGTGGCGTTTTCCTTGAATCGTTTATAACAGTGGCAGCTGCCATTCCTAGTAATATATTTGCAGTCTTAGGAATGGACACATTAGGCAGGAAATTCTTTTTAGGTGATTATTTTAATCGCATGATAATGATGTATAAAAATATTTAAATTTTCTATTTTTTATTTTTAAAATTCAGTATTTAGTACAATGGCATCTGGAATATGTGCAGTTGGTTTGTCATTAATCACAAACAAAAGACAAAATTTAGTTGTATCTGCCATATTTAGTAGTGCAATTAGTTGTGGTAATGCTGCTTTGGATTGTTTAATTACTGAAATTTTTCCTACAAATTTAAGGTAATTATTAATAAAAGTACTATTAAAAATATTTTAGTAAAACATATTTTTTGTTGGTTAGAAAAATAAAATATTAAATTTGAATGTTTATAGAGCTACTGGAATGGCTATATCTATGGTAGCTGCTAGACTTGGAGGTATAATTGGTAATATTGTTATCGCTGCACTGTTAGATCTCTATTGTCCATTACCTACTTATATAGTAGCTGTACTTCTCATAGGTCAGTAGTTTTTATTTAAATAAATATGAGGTGTGTTTATTTAATTCTTATTTGCATTCCAGGTGGAGGACTTTTGTGTCTATTGTTGCCCAACACCACAAGAGAGCCGTTAACGTGACCTAGTAATAAAAAATATTAGAATAGAAGTCTACATTTAGTAATTTACTTTCATTTATTGACATGAAATATTGTTAGTTTTAACTCTCCTTCGTTATAGACCACATTATATGCACTTTTATTTATATATATATATACATATATATAAAAAAAGAAAAAAAGAAAAAAAAATCATTAATTAATATAATTGCATTAATTTGTTGTTAACTGTATATTTATAATATGTGTACACAAGTATGCATAGGTTTGTATAGATATTTTCTAGACAAAATTCTTAATATAATGTTTATTTTTCTTTTTTTTCTACTGTGAATTTCTTGTGAATATTCCTGTTTACCTTAATATTTAGATGCAGGTGTTTAGTTAAGTTACTTTTAAACTTTTAAATAGTTTTAAAACTATATTTATATTTAAAATAGACACTATTCTTAATTTTTTTTTATGTTTGTTTAGCCATAGTAAAAAAAAATTTATTTAATACCAAATATATAAGTATAAACAGTTTCTTGTGTTGTATATTATTAAGATAACTCCTCAATCTTAGTAATTAGATATTACATATTTTTGAGCCATGACCATAAAAATAAAAATATGTCCATAATGCTATTGAAAAAATGATGATTTATATTAATTTAACAAAATTATATTTATTAAATAACTGGACTATTAAATCCAGATTAAAACTTTTATTTTTAAAACTCAATATTTCAGTCAGGTATTTTACAGTTGTTTTTATTCATAATGTCATTATTACTGTTAAAATTTCAATATTAAAAATAATAAATAATTTGCAAGTTGCGTTCAAGTCATTTAAAAAATTAGGCAAGATTTCTGAACCTTTTATCATCTATGAAATAGTTTGAGTACATTATTATATTAACCAACAAATTGTTATAAAAAGTTGGTATTTATTTGTTATTGTTTGTAGTGATTAATATTTGAATATCCGAAGGGGTGGTGGATATCGTTATGCAGATATTGTAATACCAATTTTAACTGAATTTCACACCCTGCTAGATATGTTTAAAATTTAAGGAAAATAAAGAATGACTTACAATTAATAACCATCTTACTTGCACATTAATTTACTTGGTTAATTTAATAAATGAATTGAGTATTGAATAGAAAATTGATGACTGTTAAATATATATTACAGCTAGTGTCCGAAGGCTGGCTAATATTAAGATTAGCCGGCTATACTTGAGTTTAGCCATACTCCTAACACTAGCTGTAACATATATATTATACTATACTAAATATCGTTCATCATCTCTGTAATAAATATAAATGTTACTGATAATGATAGTTTTAGGAGTTTGGACCGCAGCCAAATGTTACAGTAAATTTTTATATTTTTTAGGTAAGATAGTTCTTAGTAAATATTTCATATACTTCAGTTGTAATTTTTTTTCAACTCACATTAACGAGAGCGAAAATATCAGCATTTTTTTTATGATTTTTATCATCGTTAACCGTTGTTGAAAAGGTATATGTAAAAAAAAAAATCCGAAGCAAGTTTGTTTTGCAATTTTTTCGTGTATCGCGTTACGAGAACATCATTCATTGTCATTTTACCGCTTGCAGTTTGGAGAAACAAAACATTTTTTTTTCCCATTCTAACGTAATGTCCTGAATTATCGATTTTAAACTTTTAGAACACTCCCACTCAAAAGCGTGACGAAGGACAAAAAAAAAAAAAAACGAATAATCGTTGAAAAATCAAAAATATCTAAGCTCAAGCGAACAACATAAATTTCCGACACGAAACTCATATCGAGAATTATACGTGCAGTGAAAACCGGCAGTAAGGCTATACGCCACATAATCCGTCACGTTTTCCGCCATAGCGGCGTTTTCATTACGCGCGATACTCGTTTACAATAATTTTGTTGTGCCAACAAAAGGGATTTTTGAAAATTTTAAAAGTGCGTTTAAAAGCAATGTATTTAGGTGGATTTGAAGGAATTGTAGCGGATTTATTGCCGCAAAACGTATGTTACTTCTAATTTGATTTATTCGACACGATGTTATCTCGAAAACCCAGAACCCGAGACCATAATTTAATTTGAAATTGAATTTATCTTAATATTAATTAAATGTCTTTTTAACCAAATCATGTATCGATGATCATCGTTGTATAAGCAAACAGGTAATGAGTTTATTACTGTCTACATTAAGTACAAAATATAATTTCCCGTTAATTACAGATTAAATTAAATTTCAAATAAGTGTTCCTAATGATAAACGTGCTGAGAACTGAAAATAGTTCAAATATAAATGTTTTAATTTTTTATTTTATTATGAACCAATAAATCAAACAAATCAATAACAAACGAATACGCATGGTTAAAGCCAAATTACCTGTATTTCTAGACGGTGAACAATTTTATCTTTATTTTATACTTCGCTGCAGTTGAAAGAAAATTATGAACAAATTTGTGTCTACGTTTTACTAAAAAGTTTGAATTAAAGTTATAGTTTGATATGGCCGCACAGCAGGTACGGAATTAATTTAGTTATTATAGGGCAATGCATTCAAGAACCCGTATTCTGGATTCAGCCGTACGCCATAAAATGTAGTAATTACTTGGAATTATCTGGTGCGGAGAGATAAGTCCACTTAAGTCCCTTTTCCAATATCGAAAAATAATAGATGTATTATTTTCGCTTTACTTTTATAATATAATGTGGTTCAAGTCAAGTTAATAAGAATATGGATCACAGACAGAAACATCCAGCCAACGTTCACACGATGCTCTAGACAAAAATTGTTCGAAATCGATTTTGGTAAAATATTTATTTATTTAAATCACCTAATACTAAAACCTAACCTAAGACTTGTGCTAAATGCAATTGGTTCGGCGTGTACTAAGTATTAAATACAAGTTTCTTACAAGGAACCTTAATGTATTTCGTATAGTAGGGGCAGTTAACTCACGAAAATCATGCATTAACCACTGTTTGCGTTACAGGAGAAGTGAATGTTGGAAAAATTTAATATATGTTATATAATAACACATGGGTTAATGAGTGTACAGTGTATTCGATTAATGTTACTGTGCACTTAATTGAAATATTAAGTACATGCATGGAAAACGGTCCCATAAAATGTTTAAACTCTTGCTCGAACCTTTTACCTATCATAAAAAAATTATTTAAAATCAACAACAGCAAAAAAGTCATTAAATTTAAAAAATATTAAAATTTAAATCATTTTTATTGTTTTTTTTTCTATTAATTTACGTTAATCGACTTTTATAATATACCTTTTTTTTTTTTTTTGTAAAATGTGTACACAAATAAATACAATAATAACAGTTTGTACAATATTTCAATGCATACATTAAAAAAGGGTCGTTAGAGATATTGGTAATATTATAGGGGTGGCAAACTCAAAAAGGTTGAGAATCGCTGGTCTATAACGTACGGGAAATACGTGTGATGTGATGATTTCTTACTACTCACAATTATGTAAGCTCTAAAATTATTGCCTATACTGAACTCCTTAAAAACTAACCATTTGCAATCCCCATATGTAATATACAAGTTTTTTTTATTCAATTAGTTCGAATAACTTAAATGTATTAAAAAATAGAGTGATCATGGGCATTTTTTTTTGTACATAATGATGGCTAACTATAAATATGTAAAATATAATCTATAAAACTTTATATATTATTTTATCAATGAATCCGAAAAAAAAACATAATTGGAAAATCTACTTAATAGTTGGTGGTGATATTCAATGGGCTAAAATACAGTGTGTAATCGATAGTTGGAAATACTTTGTAACTCTGCCCATATTAAATATATTTAAATTATGTTTTTTTGGATGCCTAACAAACTTTGTCATACACTTATTACACAAATTAAACTAATTTTAGGCCATTTTTTTTTTTTAAATGACAACCCCCCTTTTTTTTTAGTAATTATTTTGACAGGTATTTTTTATAAATTTTAATGGTCAAACCAACTTCTTAAGTTAAAAATTAGCTGAATTATGGATTTTTAAATGTTTGATATTAGTTGAAATAGATAGTTGCATCACGTCAAGGTGATACTGAACGTAGGATTACGTTTATTTCTTGACTAATTACTCAATTAGAAAACAGTCCTATAATTTTAAATTACATATTGTGGACAGATAAGTCTAAATTTACTAACAATTGGATTATAAATAAACAAAATATATATGACATAATATGTGTAATGACAATTGATGAATTTCGCCAAGTATAAACTATAATATAATACACATATAAATACAATAATGTACACTCTAAATTCTTTTTATCTTTGGATATCTTTTTTTTGACTAATGATTTGCTACCAGCATGTTTTTTTGCTAATAACCATCACGTTTCGGTTGTTTGTTATTTCACTCTCATTCGTCGTTCAGTGTATCCATAGAGAATGTAGTGTAATGCGATCATAATACATTTCATTTATTTTTTGTGTGTACCGACCATTTTGTTGTTTAACGCTCTCCTAACAGGGTCTCGTACATTTTCGTTTCTCAATCTGCTCGTATTATCCATATCCTACGTAAACAAACGTCGTACGATCTGTTTGCAAATTTGTTATTTGGTATTTCATATCTGTTCAAAATGGACGTGAGTTTGGATGAATTGATTGAGAACAGAAGATTCCACGGTGGACGTCGTGAGGAAGGAAGACATAGCGGCTCCAGAGGTTTCAGTGGCAGTAAACGCGGAAGCGGAACATCGAATTTTCGATCAAATGGCGCTGGTGGAAGCGGTGGTGGGCCTATGCGCAGAGGCAGATCCATAGCAAGGCGTTCTAATGGATTTATTCCTTATTCGAAGGTGAAAAATACGTGAATTTGCTTTGTCAAATTTGGTTCTTCAGTATTACGGATTATCCGTTATAAGTTGTATACAATTATTTTTATTTGCAGTAACTAGTGTTTGAACCCCATCCTTAGTAATTACTTGTTTGCTATTTGAATCTTTAGCAAAATTCGTGCTAATTTTGATCAGGCTCTTCTAATGTAGGATTTCTATTTTTAGACTAATACTTTTTTATATATTATCTACTCATGAACCTTG